CCCAGGCACAGAGGTACTGAGGGAAGCTGAGCTTCTGAAAACAGCTGAGGGGGCGAATTTTCATATTTATAAAAATATCAACCACCTCCCGGCTGAGGGCAGACGGCTGGCACCGCACTCACAGGTGTAGCGCTCCCCGGCTGCTGGAACCAGGCCGTGCATCTTCCCTGCCATGTAAATGTTCTCACCATTTAGGGTCACAGCGTCGATATGCCCAGCCTGAAGGGAACAGAAAGAGGGACCGCAGACCGGTTCTCGATGTCAGGATCTGATGGAGGTGGCAGGGCCTGGTCTCTTGGGGGAGACCTGGTCTCCTCTGGGGAACCTGGGTGCGGAATGCCCAACCCTGCCCATGTGCCCTTCCTGTCCTTGAGAAAATGCCCAGCCAAGAGGGGTGCTCGCAGGGCCAAAAAGCAACCACACTGGCACTGCCATTCGTGGGTGTTTGCTTCGTTCTGTTTACAGAGGGTCTCTGGTGTGTCCCTGGTCTGAGCAAAGCCCTTGTGCTTGGTGTGGGGTCTCCCCGTCGGTTGCCAGCCCCCAGAGGACTAGGACACTGTACCTCCAGCACCTACCAAGGGCTGGCATGCAGGGCACATACAATACATATTTGTTGAATGCGTGTGCAAATGGAAGAGTGATCCAGCCCTTTAAGGTCTTGACAGTCTTGGGGCTGTGGGATAAGGCTCCAGGGTTGAGGGACAAGGCCCTGCCTGAGGGGGTGGCTGGAGGGGCTCCAGCCTTTTTCCCTTAGACCCTCGTGGAGCACCTACCCCCACCCCACTGTCCATTCTGAAGCTCTTGACAGGTGATGCCAGAACCCTGCAGAGGGGTGAACTGGTAAGCCACAGTGATGTGACAAACCTAGGGAAGGGATGGGGGACAGGGAGAGAGGAGATGTCTGCACTCCAGGAGGGTGCCCCACACCATTCAGGCCCAGAGGCATGGTATTCTGAGCCTGGAGGGTGCATCTCTAGGGGCCTTTCTTTTCCCCCACCCGGACCTTCTCCTTCCTACTGTGATGTCAGGGAGGACACACAGACCTAGACCAGGTCCCTGTTAGGCTGAAGGTCTCTTCCTTGGGTCACTGTAGCTGGGCAGGAAATGGGTGTTAGAGCCACACTGGACACCATTGCTGAGAGTCTTAGAAGCTAAAACTAAGGATCTCTGAGCCTCTTGCTGGGGTTCTGAGGAACCCCTGAAGTCCGCTTCTCTCCCCACAGGCCGCTGGCAGCCCGTGACCCTCTGTGAGCTCAGACTGAGAGGAGGTTCTTGCTTGGAGGGAGCAGAGACCTCCCTCCCTGCATCCCTCCATCTCTCCCTGCTCTGGGGCCCTTGGCACAAACGACCCCACCACAGGACAGCCTGCCAGGCATTGGGAAGTAAAGACCCCTCCACCCCTAAGTCTCCCTCCCAGTTCCAGCTGAGACGCCTCCTCCATCAGTGTCACCCACAGCTTAGCTCAGCTCTGCACAGAGACAGACTTCTATCGGCACGTGGCGAAAGTGGTTCCTCTACTCCCGAGCTGGGGACCTTGGGCAATTGACTTTCTCAGCCTCTGTCAGCCCCAGTCTCCACACCTGAAAATGGGGCTAATAATCATACCCACCCCACAGGTTTGTGGTGAAGATTAGCTGAGATAATGCACACAATGGCTTTGCATAGAGTCGGGCACGCAGGAGGTGTTAGCTCATGAGGCTGTTATCCATCACAAGCCTGGTCGCCCTTCTCTTCCTGTCCAGTGTCCTCTTCTTGGCCTTCTAGTCAATGTGGCTAACTGGCTGAGCAGGGTTGGCATTCCTGAGGGGCTGTGGCTGGTGCCTGGGGACTGCCCTGATCAGGCCCTACCTGCTTGCTCTTAAAACAGGACGAGAGGAGTCCAGGCACCCCGGCCTGGCGGGCCTGGGCTTGGGCCTGAGGCTGAACACCTGCACCCACAGGAAGGCTGCCTCCCTGGCTGCAGGGCCTCTGGGACCTCCGCGTTCTGGCCTCAGTCTCCAGCCAGAGAAGCAAAACTGGAAACAACGAATGGGGACTGAGACCACGGCCAGTGTTTTGAACTGCACATGCGGAGCCTATCAGTGAATGCTAAATCAATTTAATGGGTCATGACAAGCATTAAGGAAAAAGGTCTGGAATAGAACAAAATAGAAAATATCAAGTATTGTTTTTTTTCATATGTCTCTATATAAAAGATACATATTTTTTCACATCTTTATATCTGAAAGAAAAATTTCATGTACGACTCAGTGTGGGTTGCTGTCAAAAACGTTGAATGAAGGGGCCGGCCTGTGGCTCACTCAAGAGAGTGCGGTGCTGATAACACCAAGGCCACGGGTTCGGATCCCTATATAGGGATGGCTGG